GCACTGGGCGTGGACCTCGCTGTAGGGTCTCCATCTCATGAGAATAAGACAGTAGTAATAATAATAATAGCAAAAATTATTCAGCACATATTACCATTTTGCAGATCAGGGAAACTGAGGCACTTAGAGGACACATAACTTGCTCATAGTCACACTCTGGCTTCAGAGTCCAAGTCCATGTTAACCATTCCAGAAACCACCATGACTCTCATAACTATAGTGAGAAAAAAAGCCATCATAACTAGATGGAGGACCATACATAAGTAGTTCTTTCCACCTTGAGGAAAGGTCTAGAGTGGGATCTGTGTAACAGTAAAAGAATAATGTGTTAAGGAGAAAATATGACATGAACATATGATTCAACTAAAGCCTTGCTAGAGAACACCCCGCTTCTATTGTTCTGGTACTTCTGCTGAATTTGGTCACTATTCAGTAGAAGTCATGTCATTCCACCTGGCCTGTGTCACCCGGCCCCTATGGCTGCTTGAAAGAAAAGCCCAGAAATCAGACTTGTTGGACTAGTATAAAACAAATACTCCCTCTCCCAGTGGCTAAGGGTGCAGAGTCCTCAGACAGCTGCTGCTGGGGGTGCTCTCTGTGATATTTTGATACATACATACGTATGTATATATATATATATATATATATATATTTTTTTTTTTTTTTTGCCTACCATTCTTGACTCATAACTTTCATAGCTCCTGTTTCCTAAGTGAGTAAAACAACAAGCATTGTGCTTCAGGCCTCAGAAGCAGGCCTCAGGAAACAGTCTCTCTCTGACTTTCTCCTGCCCTTTCACCTGCTTTTTTTTCTCCACAAGGCAGGTGGTAGAAACTATTCTAATCTTCCCCTGCCTTTCTATTTTGGAACTGGCCATAAAGAAATGCTTTGACCTACCTTGTTTGCTCTGATAAGATCCCCATTTCAGAGGGGGTCCTGCCCCATACCCTGAAGGAAGAAAAGCCACACAGAGGGGCCAAGAAGAATCTGAACAAACAGGCCTTGCTGGGTTTCCCCATCCAGTCCATTAGTATTAGGTCATACCCTTTTTGTCCAGTCATATTTCTACAAAGTTGTTAATGCTTCACTGCCTGTGTAATGAAGCTTCCATAAAAACCCAAAAGGACAGGATTCGGAAAGCTTCCAGATAGCTGAACATGTGGAGGTTCCTGGAGGTTGGAGCACCTGGAGAGGGCGTGGAAACTCTGCACTCATTCCCCCATACCTTGCTCTGTGCATCTCTTCATCTGTATCCTTTGTAATATGCCTTATAATAAACCAGCGAATGTGTTTTCCTGAGTTCTGTGAGCTGCTCTAACAAATGAATCAATCCTAAGGAGGAGGTCTTGGGAACTCCAATTGATAGTTGGTCAGTCAGAAGCACAGGCAAAACAACCTGGGGCTTGTGATTGGCATAGAAAGTGGGAGTCAGTCTTGTGGGATTAAACCCCTCACCTGCAGGGTCTAGTGGTAATCTCCAGGGAGATAGTGTCAGAATTGAACTAAGGACACCCAGCTGGTGTCTGCTGCAGAACTGATTGCTCGCTTGGTTTGTGGGGAACAAACCACCACATTTGATCAGAGAAGTCTTCTGTGTTGATTGTGGTGTGAGAGCAGAGGAAAAACAGTTTGTTGTTTCTACTTGATCTGTTACCCCAGAGGATAGGGCCAGCCCCCAAAGTGAAACCGAAACAGAAAGTTGTCAGGGGTGGCTGGAGGAGTACAGGTCTTGGGAAGAAGAAAGCACATGGGATCCAGAGAAGTGCAGGGCTTCCCCCAACAAAGGCTGTGAGTAGTTATCTCAGGCCCCACAGACTAACAGTTTTCTGTTTTAACTTATCTTTTTATTTTTCCTACTGTGTCTAAGATTTCAGTTTTATTTTCAAATGCATGTCTCTGCAACTGTCTACCTAAATGCTCCCTGTGAGAAATGCTCTCAATAATTACATGTGCTATTTCCAACTCTTCATTTCTCAGGTCACTTGTCATTTTGTTTCTGGGAAAGGTAGCAGAACAAGAAGTCCAGCAGGCTATGTTAGAGCCAAGAGCGTCCCCTCTCCTTCCTGTGGCTGAGTTAGTTCCTTGGTGTCCTTGCTTTGCCTCTGCCACCCCACAGAAGTTTGTCTGCCATGCCTGTCTTGGCATGATCCAGGAGTTGGTGCCCAGGTACCTTGTCACATCCTCTTCCAGCCCCAGCAGTTCTCAAGCACAGTACCTCAAGTAGATTAGAAGTGTTTAATAGTACAATAATGGTTCTGTGGGTCTAATAGGGAAATAATATTAAGCAATCAGGATTGTTACATTACTAAATTGTCACCCATTTTTGTTAATTATTGTCATCCCCCTCATAATCTTACAGAGGCCTTTCATGTGTCTTTGAGTCTCAGAATAACCTTGTGAAGGAGATAGAGCAGGTATGCTTACCTGAACTTTTAGATGAGAAATACAAGTTAAAAGAAGCAAAGTGCAAAACCCAAAGCATACCTCTGCACTTCTGACAATTGGAAAAGTGGAAAAAGTGAGATTTTAAAATTACAGACTTAAAACTTAGCCCGACTGAATACTATTCTAAGAGGTGATCAAATTCACAATTAGAAACAAACATTTGAGCTCTGACTATTTTTTACAGTGACTCTTTGACCAAGTAATTTTTAATCAATTTTAACTTTTCACCTTTAACCTTATAATCACAAAATGGTAAATTAGGAAGTAGGCTTTTTTAGCAGTAAATTATAATTAATCAATGTTCCCTGTAGCAAAGTAACCTTACCTTACGTTATAACTAGCCAAACTAAAGAAGTTAAGCCTTACTTCATCAATCATCTTTATGAATACAAATATTCCTACTCTTGAAGTCTGAGTCCTAAATTTTGTCTTTTACTTCTGAATACTTAAGACAATATCAGTGGCCTCTGTGGCAAATGTTTTTCTTTACATCTCAAGGATCTTTATATGTTTAAATTGCTAAGTCATTTACTAACTTTGGATTCTTCTATTCAATTACCTTTGTTTACTCAGATTTTCTGTTTCTACAAGATGATTTTGAAATACTGCAAAGAGAAAAAGGGAAACTTGGTCATCTTGACTTTATATCAGGAGTCATTTCCCCTTTCTCCTTCAGCCAAAAGAAAAGAAAAGAAAACAAAACAAAAACAAAACTCTAATCAATGCCATTTCTGTCTTTTACAGGCACAAACAGAGAAAAACATACAGGAAATTTGGGGACACTAAGATGTGAAAGACAGATATAATTGTCCCCGTTCTTACCCCCAAAGGTAAAGACTGCTAGGTCCTCTTCATCAGCTTACCTGATGACTTCCAAGCAAAAAAGATATTGAGGTATTACTAATTGGTGATATTAAATCACATGAAGATAGATCATGATGCAAATTATACTTATAGAGATGGAAGAGCTTAGTTATATTTACTAGATTTACTAATTAAATATTCATATAGCACTTAGCAAATTTACCTGTGGCTTCTTATGGTGTTCATTTTGAATAGGGTTTCTTAAAAGACACAAGTGTTCAGATACTTGGATACAGACATTAAGATAAAACACAGACACATGCATCATGTCTTGGGTATAAGGGGAAGATTCTGGAATCAGGGGTGAGAAGGGGCGCACCCTGCTCTAAGCCACTCTGCCTGTCTATGTCTTAGATTCTTATCTTGTAATGTGAGGGTGTTGCATGATGTCTAAACTCTAAAAGCACTCATAATCTATTATATACCAGTAATATATGATAATTTACTCATTATATTATATACTATATATAGTATAATTACATACTAACAATCTATTGTACAATCTGCTAAAATTTCATACAAATATCTATCCTTTTACATTTTTTCGTAAATTTTTGACCATTTTTCTAAGAATTATTTTGAATTTTCTGCTCCATAGAGGTAAGGAAAGTTTTTTCTTTAACAGAAAATATGAATAGATATTATTTATAGCCCTTAGACCTCATCCTTAACAAGAATTTATCTTAATATGAGGGGAAGAACAGAATGAATTAAATATTTTTTATCTACTCTTCTATGTTGTCTAAAAGCATTTGAGTGACATTTACCCAGAGGCCCAGATAAAATAAAACAAAGCCTTTACATGGCGGGATTGGGACTGGGGAAGGGATACCATAGATGTCGTAGGAGGGCACTAGAGGTCACGTACTATATTTGTTGTTTTTTAAGTCATTTATGTGGCTATTTGCCTCTAACAAAAATGAAATTTATATTTTATCTCTGTTATATAACAGAAATGATCTTTATTATCACCAGTCTTAGATACTTTCCCTTCTCTGGTGTCTACCTCCCACATAAGAAAGAAAGAAAAAGAGGAAAAAGGGAAGAAAGGAAGGGAGGGGTGGAAGGAAAGAAAGACTGAAAGGAGGGAGGGAAAAGGAATGAAGGGAAAGACGAAGGGAGAAATAAGGAAAGAAGCTCAGTCCCCTGAGTCCTTGGGCCCCTGGGCAGAGGTCTCGGTTTGTCCTCTGGCCTAACCCAAGGGAACAGAGCCTGGGGGATCAGTGCTTTGAGCACTAAGGACGCAGCAGGGAACACACCAGACAGCAAACTCCTGCTTCTATTGACGTGTGTTCTCAGTCTTTAGCATGTATATCAGGTGACAATTTGGGTGAATTTTGTTCTCAATGTTGTTCTGTGGTGCATTTTCCTAGAAGCAAATATTTTAGAAATTTTCTTCTCTTCTAATAAAAAACGATATAAATCGCTCAACAGAACAACAAAAGGATTGTGGTTGATTTTTTTAATATATAAAATGTTTGTTGTGGTATGATTTTACATGAGTTAAATTACTAATTTCTTTTCATTAGTAAAAGGTAGAATTATACTATATTTGAATTTTTTTTCCTGAAATTTGACATTAAATCTTATCAATACACATGTTGTTCAATCCTTGAAATACTGTCTGATTGTATTCATTGAACTGCAACATTTTTTCCCTCAGAAGGGGTCAGGCGTAGTATGTTCATAAAATTGTAAAATAAAACCCCAGTAGCTGGCAGTCTTATGTTACGTAAATGTTCTCGCCTCTATAAATTCTCCATGAACGTTACTTTTACTTTCAGAAACTACTAAACCTTGGCCATGACCACTTCCTCTTTTCTGACCTCTGTGGCAATTTTTACTTTGATTACCCTGCATGTTGGTGCTCTGGACACATTTATAGCTGCAGTGTATGAACATGCTGTCATATTGCCAAATAAAATGGAAATAACTGTTTCTCAGGATGATGCTTTGCTTCTCATGAACAAAAATATAGATATTCTGGAGAGAGCAATTAAGCAGGCAGCTGAGCAGGTAGTCTTTTCTTTCTGCTAATCATAATTTGTGGGGGTGACATGGGAGCTGGTGGAAAACTGGAGTGTTGAAGACTCTTTGTTGTACGTGGAAAAATAATTTTGATTTGACTTGTTTTGAACAGAATGCTCGAATTATTGTGACTCCAGAAGATGCACTTTATGGGTGGGAATTTACCAGGGAAACCATTTTCCCTTATCTGGAAGATATCCCAGACCCTCAGGTGAACTGGATTCCATGTAAAGACCCCCACAGGTATTTTAACTATCCTAGTTGTTTGTACAATAATGCTATAATTCTCTAAATTGTGCAAGTTTGCCAGAGCGAAATGATCAATCCAGAATTATCAAATATGTGATGTATGTTATGGTTATGTTTATCTCGGCATTTGTTAGATTTTTTAAAACTGTACTTAGACCATTTAACAATTTTTTATGATTGAAGATCTTTATTAAAATTGGGGAAAATTTGTAAACGGTTATTTATTACAAGGAAAATTAAAAGAAGAGGATCTCACAAATACAAAAGTAACTCAATTTCTGAAGTGGACAGTGGGTTGTGTTAGGAAAATAGTCCAAGGTCTCTGTTGAAGGGACCATATTTCAATTTCATAGAGTCTCTTTGCCCCAGAGTTTGCTTTTCAGGCACAAAGACCTCACTGTGTACTTTCTAGTGAATCATAAGACCTTATGCTTTGAAACTGCATTTTCCTAGTCTCATAAAGTTAATTTCCCCAGGAAAAGGTTAACTTCTAATATAAAATATTTAATATATATAAGTAAATACTGAATTTATAAATCCTACTGTCTAGTAGGACTTGAAGATGATTTATTTAGGTACAGAGTGCACACTTCTCTATTGCAGTGATAGTTCTCTCCCTCTTTCACAATCTTTTTCTCTCTCATTGTTCACTCTTTTTTTTATCTTCTCACCCTTTCCCTCACTCTTTTACCTCAAATTAAGTTTAGTAAACATTCTTTTGTTATGTTCTTGCTGGAGGGTGATAGATAGCACACTTTTTTAGGCACTCCTGATGATTCTGCAGTTTATAGAAGGGTATCAGGAAATGGCTTTTCATAGCTCTAGAGAGATTGACTGCACTCAGAGGAGACTACCCGTTTACATGGCAATGGACATGTCCATCTTCCCATCTTTCCTGTTCTAAGCTAATGCTCTTTATGGGGTTTGGGAGACACTTTCTTTCGTGCAAGATGAAAGGCAAATGGCTGGACAGTTTTTCTATATAGAAGTTTTGGGAGTTGTTTTTCATCTCACAGCAGGATTGAGTTCTGGATTTTCTGTTAAAAATAACGTGTTGCAATTTGTGAAAGAGTGAAAGGTTACAGCAGCTATGGAAACTAGTGAAGGTTGGGGAAAGGGTTTATTCTATGTGGTTAGCAAACACCTCTTTCATAATGCCAGAATGCAAGTAACAAACTTTGCATCATCACCCAGTACAGTTATGGTTAATTCAACGTGGGGAATGGGATTGCCCTTTACAGATGCAGATCGCACTGAAGAAACAGTATGTCTGGGATAGAAATCAGGAATTCACTTTTATGCATCTTAAGTTTGTGCTACCCCTTAGACATTCAGATGGAGATGTCAACCTGGCAGTTAAATATACAAGTCTGGCATGAAAGGACAAGGTTAGGTCAAAAGATAGAAAATCAAGAGTCAGCATATAAATGGTTTTTAATACCATGATGAGTTCACTTATGGAGTGAGTTAAAGAAGAGAACAGGCATAAGGCTTGAGCTCGAGGACATTCCAATCTTAGACTCAGGGGAGATGAGAAGGAACCAGCAAAGGAAACAGAAGAGCAACCAACGAGTAGGAGCATGAGAGGGTGGGTCCAGTAAGGAGTGCAGTGTTTCCAGGAGGAAGGTGTCATTAACTGTGTCAACTGCTGCAGACAAGTCAAGTAAGATGAGGTCAGGTAAGATGTGAAGGTCATTGTTGGCATTCGTCACAGTAGGGATGATAGAGATGAAAGTTCACTGGAGTGACTTGAAAGAGAATGGGAGAGGAGAAGCTGGGGACCGAAAGATGATCACCTCTTCCAAGGAATTTTACCATAAGACGGGAGCTGAGAACTGAAGTGATATTTGGAAGGGTATAAAGGGTCAAGAGAGGTTTTTATTTTAATTTTCTAAAATATAGAGGTAGTAGAGCATATTTTGTGTTGATGGAACAGTCCATTAGAGACAAGACAATTGATGATGCAGGAGAGTGAATAATGAATCGCTGGAGCAAAAGATATGGTGTGGAAAATATTAATCAAGTTTAAGTATAATCTGTGGCTTTTTATTTATTTATTTATTTTATTTATTTATTTTAAATTTTATTTTGTCGATATACATTGTGGTTGTTTATTGTTGCCCCTTACCAAAACCTCCCTCCCTCCTCCCTCTCCTCCCTCCCACCCAACAATGTCCTTTCTGTTTGATCTGTGGCTTTTTAAATATGATTCTTTTATGAGTAGTTTTTAGATTAACTTCAGTTACATTTAGGCTCCTACTGTTGTTATTGTCTCTGTATGAAGTGACTAAAATACTGGTTAAAATTAACATGCCTTAATTAAAATTTGATTTAGATTTGGCCGTACACCAGTACAAACAAGACTTAGCTGCCTGGCCAAAAACAACTCTATCTATGTCTTGGCGAATATTGGGGACAAAAAGCCATGTGATTCCCATGACTCTGCATGTCCTTCTAATGGCTATTATCAATACAATACCAATGTGGTGTACGATACAGAGGGAAAACTGGTGGCACGTTACCATAAGGTAAGAGAGAGGGAGGGTATGTAAAAAGGAGCCTGACGTGAGAGAAGTGAATGCTGTGGTTAGGAGTTGGAGCTTCATTTGCTGTATAATATGATTTATTAGAGATTTTTTTGTGAACAGGAGCAATGAAGAAAATGACATTTTAGAGAAAAACTAATCTGGAAAATTGTAGACAGAGACTGTTAGATAAGTGTTGTAATGGTCCAGAATTGAGATAATTTTTGTGTGTGTGAGTGTGCTTTAATTTAGTAGGACAAATAGTATCCCATGGCACTCTTTTTTAAGTATGCGTCTGGCTATGTTTGTTTGACAATTTTTCCATGTGACTGTTCTTTCTTTCTTTTTCAGGTTTTATTTATTTTATTTTTATTTTTATTTTTATTTTTTTGTCTTTTTATTTTTTTTTTTTTTCCATGTCCGGCAACGGATCGCAACCCTCAGTGTCGCCCCCGTACCGGACCAGGACCGGCAATGGGATCGCAACCCTCGGCGTTGCTCCCACGCCTCGCTCAGCCAGTGAGCGGGAACCGGTCTGTATGTGGGATCCGAACCCTCAGCAGGAGCGCCTCCGCGCTTCCCAAGCGGCGCACTAGCGCAGTGCGCCACCGGGCCGGCCCTTTATTTTTATTTTTAGATAGTTTATTATACATACATGTGGGGTACAACGTTGATTTTCAGTAACTGTGTAGAATGTGTGGTGGTTAGATCAGGATAGTTAGCTTATTCATCATTACAATACGCAATCATTCTTTGTGTCCATTGACCAATTCCTCATTAGTCCCCCTGTCTCTCCCCTTCCCCTTTTCCATCTCCAGTAACAAGCTGTGGTTACTAGAGATATATGTTTTTGTATATATGAAACAAGTGATTTTTAATATTGATGCAAAGTATACTAAGGTGACTGTAATGTTGATGCCATTTAGTGTTGAAATGGTATAAAGACATTTCAAAATTGTATAAATTGGTTTCACCTAAGTTAATTTTCTATCAAATCAATAAGGTATATCTTATACCCTAGTTGATTTAATTGCCCTTTTGTAGATTTAAGGTCAAACCATAAACTTTTTACTTTAAACTCTGAAATGAAAAGAGTGAAATAACCCTTAAGTCATAATTTTATACCAAACTGGGTGGAGAGAGAGCCTTTTAAATAGGTATGTGATGTTCAGGCTGTATGAATGTTCCTCGTCCTTCCCATGCTTTTTTGAAGCATTTTAAATTGTGGCCAAGCATATTTTTACTTGATGTTGACAGCACCACACTCTCCCAAGTGAACCACGGGCCGGCCCTACGTGACCAAGCATGTTTTGAGTAGAGAAATTATCGCCTACAAGTTCCAGTTAAAATATAAATATTAACTAAGAGGAGGGATATTAAACCAATGGCTTCCAAATGATTTTGACTATATACCCCTAGTGGAGACATTTTTTAACACGAGTCCTCAATATACGCATATTTTAAAATTTGCGTATTTATAAATACAAAAATCTCAAAACAAACTTTTTAAAAAATTTTGTGGGTTTCGAGAACTTTTTGTATGTAATTGAACCTTCATTTTCTCCTCAAAATGTATATCCTACTGGGAACAGAAATATCAGGTCTTCCATTTTCTTGTTTGGGAGACTTTGTATTATTAGTATTATCTTTCAATGCATTTTCCTGAACTGTTTTAAGCTGTTGCATTCTGTAAAAGCTAATTTAGTTAACAGGGGTGGCATCGTTGGGGAATCCACATAACCAGGTCCAAGTACACTGCAGGATGGTGGTATGCACTGAATGTGGACAAGCATAGAGGAGCCTGCTGTCATTCTATGTTCAAGGGCTCTCACGCATCCCTCAGGGTACCTCAGGGACCGTTCATGACCCATGACCTCTGACATATGGACCTAATAAGAGTACCTTTGTTGCTTCATTTATCAATTCTTAAAATGCTAGTAAAGTTCAATTTCTTTTATATTTTTAGACAGAAAATAAATTTAGAGAAGTTTTAAGAGTCTCTTTCTCAACCCTCTGCATTCCCTATGTGACAGACCATTTTATCAACTGTTGACCCTGATTATTATATTAGACTAGGTTAGTTTTTCAAGTTTACTTGGAAAGAGTCAGGGAAAATTAAATAAAACATTCCTTTTAACAGTGATTTTGAAAGCTGGGTAAAAGAGTCCCTGGAGATTACTTTGGGTGGGACATTATAAAGAGGGAGGTGGCATCTCTTATCTGACTCACAGATATTTATTTAGCACCTACTATGTTTTTAGATATCAGGGATTCAAAGAAGAATAATGCATGTATTCAGCTTTAAAGAAGCTCATAGTCTTTGGGGTTTATAGGGAGGTATTTGGCTCTTAATTGGTCGGGGGGAGAGAGATAGAAAGAGCGAGAGTAAGAGAGAGAGAGAGGAGAAGACAGTGAGATGCTATGAACATATGTTGCTTATTCCTCCACAGATTCCTTGGAAATTGACTTACCATTGCCAGATTCATTCACTTCCTAGATTTCTTGCCATTGACCAGAGCCAAATCTGTTACTAACTTTGGAGGGTTTTTACAAGTCATCTCTTCAATAAACCAGCCTTTACTACTTTTATTCTATGTATTTATTGTAGTATCACCTCTACCATGAGCCTCAGTTTGATGTCCCTGAAAAGCTGGAGTTGGTAACTTTCAACACCACCTTTGGAAGGTTTGGCATTTTCACATGCTTTGATATACTCTTCCATGATCCTGCTGTTACTCTGGTGAAGGATTTCCACGTGGACACCATACTGCTTCCCACAGCTTGGATGAATGTTTTGCCTCTTTTGACAGCTATTGAATTCCATTCAGCTTGGGCAATGGGAATGGGAGTTAATCTTCTTGTGGCCAACATACATCATATCAGGAAAAACATGACAGGTAATTCATGACCAAATGAGGTTTACAGCTTATACTTCTAACTACAGGAAAACTAATACTTCAGATATGACCTGTCTTAATTTTTTGCTTTTTTGTTAAGAGTCCTCACTATGTTTGACATTCTTGCACAAAAAAAGAAAAGCTAATGCTTGATTATAATAGCTAGATTGTGCTAAATCCTTTATGTGTATTATTTCATTTAATTATTAGAATAGCTCTGTGTGGTGGGTATTAACATCCCAACTTACAGATTAGAAAACTGAGAGACAGAGAATACAAGTAACTTGCCAAAGGCTACCTACCCAGCTAGTAACCGGACAAGCAGGGAACTAAGCAGAGATATGCTCTAAACTGGCAAAGGTAGAAAAGTGTATTCTTTATTTGCTGCTGTATGGTAAATTACCCTTAAAGTTAAAAGTACATGTGTCTTGAAACAAGACAAATTTATTATCTAACAGTTTGTTGGTCAGGAAATTGGGAACAGCTTAGTTGGTGGTTCTGGCTTAGACTGTCTCTTCAGTTTGCATCAGATTGTTGGCTGGGCTAGCAGTCACCCGAAGACTTGACTGGGCTGGTGAGTCTGCTTCCAGGATGGCTCACTCACATGGCTATCGGCAGGAGCCCTCAGTTCCTCAGTGGCTGTTGGCAGGAGGCCTCCATTCCTTGCCACTTTTCTCTCGTTAGTGCTGCATGATGTAGTCTCATGATGTGGCAGCTGATTTCCTCCAGATCAAGTGATGAGAGACAGAGAGAGGAAGCCACTTTGCTGTTTATATATAGTCACCACCATTATTTATTTCTACCATGTTCTATTCATTAGAAATGAGTCAATTAAAAAAAAAAAGTTGGGCTAGCCTGTTAGCTCAGTTGGCTTGAATGCACCTTATAACACCAAGGTCATGGGTTCGGGTCCCCTTACCGGCCAGCCACCAAAAAAAAAAAAAAAAAAAAAAAAAAAAAACCGAGTCATTAAGTCCAGAGCACACTCAAGGGATGGGAATTAGATCCACTTATTGAAGAGAGGGGTACTGAAAATTTTTTGTTCATATTTGAAAATAACCACAGTGGGAAAACAGGAGAGAATTTTTCATTACCTTTCCTTGCCTGTCAGGGTCTCCTGAATACAAAGATTTTTATATTTGGCTTAATTTTCCATAATGCTAATAAATAATGCTATGTTCAAAGTTTATTTGAAATGAGACAATTGAACATCTGTTTTAATCTCTTCCAATAGAGAATAAGAGAAGTAGTTAGGTGTGCTGTATAACTAGAAGCCTGTGTGCTTTCTCACTGTGACTAATATGGTAACATGATCACATGACCAATTCTGGTGGGGAAATTGGCAGTATGGGTTTTTTGTGTTGTTGTTTTAAAAAGACTTGTCTTCCATTCACAGGGAGTGGTATCTATGCACCAAGCTCTCCTAAAGTGTACCATTATGACATGGAAACTGAGTTGGGAAAGCTCCTCTTTTCGGAGGTCGATTCACATCCCCGAGTCTCTCCTGCTGACTCAACAACCATGAACTGGAGTGCCTACGCTACGGCCATCAAACCATTCCCAGTACAGAAAAACACTTTCGGGGGATTTATTTCCCAGGATGGGTTCAACTTCACAGAACTTGCTGAATATGCAGGAAATCTTACAGTCTGTCAAAAAGAGCTCTGTTGTCATTTAAGCTACAAAATGTTAAAACAAGAAGAGAATGAAGTGTATGTTCTAGGAGCTTTTACAGGATTGCATGGCCGAAGGAGAAGAGAGTATTGGCAGGTAATCTCAGCTCAAGGGAAAGGGAATGTTTAGGTGTCAGAACATTCCAGGTTAACTTTTCATATTTGTTCCAGGAAATCAAGTGCTTTTCTTGGCATGACTTCATGCGTTGACAGTATCTCTCTCTCTCTCTCTCTCTCTCTCTCTCTCTCACACACACACACACACACACACACACACACACCCCACTGGGGTTAATAAATTATTTGCAATGGGAATTAAGTCTAATTTGATGAACTAGTTTGCATATTGTGGTGAACTTCAAGAAGAAGTCTTACTTGATGACATTTGACGACTTACCTGAATATAAACAGTCTTATTTTCACTTGTCATGTGAACAATGAATAAGAATACCACTTTTATCGTAGTTTCTCTTCTAATCAGATGCCCTAGTCTTTTTATTACCTTCAAATAACAAATTTTAAAGATGCAAACTTTTTATAGAGTGTTGGCTATAAATTTGTATTTTCTTATTATATTCCATGTCCCACTGTCTTCTTCTAAAGAAAAGAATACGAAAAAAAGAGGTGAGGTGCAGGGGTGGTCAAACTTTTAATTATCCTTTCAGCTTTAGTACTCCTGCTGCCCAAAGACCTCCATGGGCTCGATGCCAGCATCTGACATACCAAACTCATGGTTTGAACCTAATTCTAAACTGACTTCTTTCTTTCAATCCATTTGTATCCAGGAAGTGGGTTGGTTCTCAAATCACTTGCCACTTCCAATAAACCACGTAATTATAAGAAAAATGATCCAAATTCCTTTACAGAGAAAGATAATTTTGCCTCGGTATGGTTGAAAAAATAAGTCGACGGTTCTAGTACAAGTAACTTAGATGTAATGTGTTGCATTTTATCTGTATCTGTCCCACATAGGTATGCACAATGCTGAAGTGCAAAACTACTAATTTGACAACTTGTGGACGGCCAGTAGAAACTGCTTCTACAAGATTTGAAATGTTCTCCCTCAGTGGCACATTTGGGACAGAATATGTTTTTCCTGAAGTGCTACTTACTAAAATTCATCTGTCACCTGGAAAATTTGAAGTAAGAGGATTTTAAGAGTATTTTCATTTTATGTGTTCTCTGAAGCCAAGTAAAACAGGCTATAGCAATGGTATCCATACTTCTGCAGGTAACGAACTTCCTCAAACTTAATGGCTTTAAACAATAGCCATTTATTTAGCCATGATTTTGTGGGTTGGCAACTTGAAGTGGGTGTAGCTGGGCTGTTTTTGTGCTCTGAGTGGGCTCAGTTGATGTTGGCTGTGCTCATTGCATCTGTCTTTAGATAGTGTGTTGGTTGGGGCTGTCTTGTCTTGGACAGCTGGGATGATTGGAGCCATCTCTCCTGGTGTTCTCTCATCTTTCAGCAAATCTGGCCTTATTCATGTGTTAGTTCAGTGAGATCAAGAGCATCAAGAGGAAAAGCCACAATGGGCATGTTCTTTTCAAGTTTCTGCTTGCATCATGTTTGCAAATGTCTCATGGAACACAGTAAGCCACATGAGCAATGTAGAGTCAAGCGGTAGAAAAATAATCAATGCAGATCTCTCCATGGGAAGAGCTGTAAAATCACATTGCAAAAGGGCACGGGTAAAGGAGGGGGAAATTTTGTGGCCATTTTTGTAATTTATAGCAACTAATTCTAAAATGATGACACTTCATTGGAATAACACAATAACATACCTAAAACACATGAGCCCAAGGCACCATTCATTGAAGAATATTTGTTTATAGATTTTTGATTTCCTTTTGTCACATGTGGATATAGACAGAAAATCAGATATTTACTTCACAAATTATAGTGACTATAACCAATTAGTTCACACATTAAGCTAGTCTCAAATTAGTGTTATGACTCTGCAGGTTTATATCTGCTAGTAGTACCTGACACGTGCACACGTGCATACACATACTCCACTGGTTTAAATATTAATGTTTTCTCTGAATTGTAGCAAACAGAGGCAGGATTTCAGTAACTAGGATAAAATCATTGCATGTTCTATAAAAGGAAAATAGGATCTAAGTTAACTCATCCAAGGCATCAAGCAAGGAAATCTTCAAGATTGCAGATTGCTTATGGTCATCTGTGTCTGCTGATTGGAATATATCATGTTTATAAAAATATTTAATCTGGGGGCTGGCCCGGTGGCGCACTGGATAGTGCGCCGCTTGGGAAGTGCGGCGGCGCTCCCGCCTGAGGGTTCGGATCCCACATACGGACTGGTTCCCGCTCACTGGCTGAGCGAGGCGCGGGGGCAGCACCAAGGGTTGCAGTCCCGTTGCCGGTCCCCGGTCCCGTACGGGGGCAACACTGAGGGTTGCGATCCGTTGCCGGACACGGAAAAAGACAAAAAGACAAAAAATAAAAAAATTTAATCTGTGAAACTGACAGTTTAACATATAGTGCACCCCTAAGGCTGAGAAACCCAGAGAACAGGAGTTCTTGGCCACCACAGAGCCCAGTTAGGTAGAATCTCACAAACTAATTAAGTATGGAATACAAGCTTCACTGCCAACTACAGAAAATCAAGATCAGATGTGAAGTGAGGAGCCTGGAGCTAAAATCCAGAAGTTAAAATGTGCCTGGACTGTCATAAATAAGCATAGATGAATTGAAAGTATCTGGGTTCACTTCAAGTAAATGAGGGAAGGGAAACCAGGGCCACACAGGTACACTCAGGAAGGAGCAGGAGCTGGCAGTATAGGTGAATTGTACCCTGTAAGCCCCCCATTTAAACTGCACACACAGTCTGATTTTCAAGATTCTACTCCGGTGGCGCACTGCTATAGTGCGCCGCTTGGGAAGTGCGGCGGCGCTCCCGCCTGAGGGTTCGGATCCCACATACGGACTGGTTCCCGCTCACTGGCTGAGCGAGGCGCGGGGGCAGCACCAAGGGTTGCAGTCCCGTTGCCGGTCCCCGGTCCCGTACGGGGGCAACACTGAGGGTTGCGATCCGTTGCCGGACACGGAAAAAGACAAAAAGACAAAAAATAAAAAAATTTAATCTGTGAAACTGACAGTTTAACATATAGTGCACCCCTAAGGCTGAGAAACCCAGAGAACAGGAGTTCTTGGCCACCACAGAGCCCAGTTAGGTAGAATCTCACAAACTAATTAAGTATGGAATACAAGCTTCACTGCCAACTACAGAAAATCAAGATCAGATGTGAAGTGAGGAGCCTGGAGCTAAAATCCAGAAGTTAAAATGTGCCTGGACTGTCATAAATAAGCATAGATGAATTGAAAGTATCTGGGTTCACTTCAAGTAAATGAGGGAAGGGAAACCAGGGCCACACAGGTACACTCAGGAAGGAGCAGGAGCTGGCAGTATAGGTGAATTGTACCCTGTAAGCCCCCCATTTAAACTGCACACACAGTCTGATTTTCAAGATTCTACTTGGACACTTTCCCATATCACATACTCATAAAAATCTATCTCTTTGAAGAATTGTTCCAGAATTGGACTGAGCACTAAAGGTCTAAAGCCAGAAATGCCATTTTACTGTCACTCTGAGCCACATCAGTATTTGAAGAAGTTAGATGGTGATAATTTGTGAGCAGTTGGAGAGCATAATGAAATTAGTCCATAGCTACCTTTTTTTTTTATTTTAAAATTTTCATCCCAAATGGTTTTGGGCAGTTGGGAAAAGTTAGAGGATGATACAAGAGAGTAAATGTGTAAGTGCTTAACTGTATTGTATTTGTAGGTCCCAACTCTTATCATTTCTCAGAACTTGAGGGCACTGGCCTTTTATTCTTAAATGGAAGAAAGGAGAGAAAGTAGGGATAGCCCTATCCTTTAAATTAGGCTCTTACTGTATAATTATCATTTGAATCTTGTCTCATCTGCTCATTTGCAGAAAGAGAAAATAGATATTTCCTCTTAGAAAATGAGATAGATTGTGTTACACCAAAAAGATATCAAAGAGGCATTTGGCTGCCTGCAGGCAGGGTCTTTGGTATAGCAATTCCTTAGAGGGAGGTCAGCATGCTGGTTTTCATTTCACAAGTGTAGATTCTCTATGGCGTGACTTTCCCTGAAGTTCATCAGGTTCTAAGGAATGGAACTCACAAAAGAAGATCAACATATTATTTTTTTAAATAGATTTACTTAGGGTTGGCCCGGTGGCGCACTGGAGAGTGCGCCGCTTGGGAGCGCAGTGGCGCTCCCGCCGAGGGGTCGGATCCCACATATAGACCGGTTCCCGCTCACTGGCTGAGTGAGGTGCGGGCGCAACACCGAGGGTTGCGATCCCATTGCCGGTCAGTTAAAAAAGACAAAAAGGAGAAAAAAAAAACAAAAAAACAAATAAAATAGATTTACTTAGCTGGAGAATAATGAATTGTCCTCTCAAGAAGGCTCTCCATTGGCAAATGCTCTCAAGTCCAAACTATGGATCTGAAGTTTGTTTTGTGAGCACAGAATTAAAACAAATAGGGTTCTCACTGGCTGAGCGTGGTGCGGGCGCAACACCGAGGGTTGCGATCCCATTGCCGGTCAGTTAAAAAAGACAAAAAGGAGAAAAAAAAAACAAAAAAACAAATAAAATAGATTTACTTAGCTGGAGAATAATGAATTGTCCTCTCAAGAAGGCTCTCCATTGGCAAATGCTCTCAAGTCCAAACTATGGATCTGAAGTTTGTTTTGTGAGCACAGAATTAAAACAAATAGGGTTGAGCATTCACAGAAATGATTTCCAGGAAGCCACAGTAGCCTGAGGCAATGTGTTTCCCTTCTTTAGAGCTGGTCACCTAAAGACCATCTAGAATTAAGGCACCTACCTTCCTCAAAAAGGGCCAAATAAACAGTGACCGATTCTTGATTTTTTTAGTTCTTCTTTTCTAGAGACCTTGACCTCTGTTAACATATTGTTTTTAGAAAGACAATTTAAAATATTGTAGATGACAAGTTTTTATATCAGTTGTGCTTACAATGTCTTCTTGAGTATTTCCCCAGTTCTGCAAATATTTACACATTGTCTTAGAGAATCACTGTTGCAGAGATTTCAACACACTTAATTGTGTACCCTTTCCCCTTGACCACCTAGCTTTATTCTAAAAGGGCAGAGTGTTACTGGCCATGCCCCCAAATATGGAAAGGTCTTGCTTTAGCACCTTGGGCATCATCAGAACCCCTGGCAGAGTCTGGTTTCTGCAATTAACGAGTTATGTGACCTTGGGAAAGTTACTTAATGTCTGAATTTTCTAGATAAAAGAGAGGACTAACTTATTATTTAAGATTGATTCACTTAGCTGCAAAATGGAGAGAACACCTTACTGGTTATTTTGATGATGATGAAATATGCTAATTCACATGAAGGCACTCTGTGAACAGTGAAGCACATAACTGTCCTTTAGGGTATTTAGTTATTTTGTTCTTCTAATTGTAAAGTATCGGTTTTCCCAATTTCCAGTTTCTTCACTACCCATACATTCTACCCATACTGTTGTTTCCACAACAGATGGGTGAAAGAAAGTGAGCCGAGATGCTGGGTACCATTCAAGCTTTATTAAAGGAAAAAAATCTGCTGGACTGTACTCAAAGTAGCAGGCAGCCCAGGGCTGCCCTGAAAAGGGGACAGCACCAGGTGTGGGGGTGGTAGAGCTTATATAGTGCACCAAGGGCTGGCTGATACCATCAAGGAGGGTCATTATGCTAATGTGGATCGGGGTGGAGAACTGCATCCTTGCGGAAGCAAAAGGAGTTTCTGTTTAAGTCAGGAGGCTTCTCCTAAAGGGGAGGGAGGACGGGAGGAGGTGGGCAGGGCCATTTTGTAGTTGGGTTTGTCTAAAGTGGAGCTGCTTATGTTGCAGATCTATTAATGGGTTCATTTTCTTTTATCCTCATTCTATCTATTGTCCATCTGTCTGTGTTTCCTTCTATTCTTGTTCAACCGTGTTGTATACAATACTACCTTACAGAGAATCCTCTGTGGTTTCAGGATAGAGCTGGTCATTTAAGGCTTTCGCAATCTGAGCCCCATCTTCCTCTGATCATAGGGCTTATTCTCTTTTTCATTAGTCGTTAACTCTAGCCAGTGGTGTGCTGTAAATTTTAACAACCCACTCTCTTTTCTTAGAAAGAAAAGAAAAAGCTCTGATTTGTGGCATATGCCAATTTTCGTGGAGTAAATATTCCTATCACGATCAATTTCAAGGATGGCTGTGTTTAACAACCAGCTGCCAAAGTTCCTGGAAATTTAATATCTGTTCTCATGAGTCCGTACACCACTGGCTCCAGCATACCACTGGCTCTAACCAACCTGGAGTGAGAAAACAGGTTGCCTATACCTGTCACAGGCACTTCTGCCTCAGAATGAGTCTTTGCTGCTTTGATTTCTACTTCCCACAATGTCATCTGCCATGCAGCTCCAGGAAGAAATGACTAACTCCTCCTTTTATGGCATGTTTTGTCCCATTCTGGGAAGTAGACCAGCTTGTCCCTTCTCAGACCTCCTAAGCACCTATCTGTTTTCCTCTCTAATATACTAATATACTGATTTCTCTCTTCACGTTTAGAATCTGCTCAGTTTCACAACTAACTTTGAAGCTTCTTGAGGGAAGAGTGTGATATATACCTCTCTAATTCCCGATGATTTTGACTTTTCATTAACAGTTACCTTCAACTGCTAAAACTCAAATTTTGGGCCCTCTTGAATTGCTCTAATTTTCATTAAATATAAAATAACCTGCCCTGCCTATTCCTCCCTCCCCAAGCAGAAGCAATTTGATCAACCTTTATATCTGGGATGGTTTCAAAATCATTAGTTTCCTTGCACTGTGTATTTTAATAAAGCTGACTGTACTTTTCCCTTCTTTTCTTTAGGTGATAAAAGACGGGCGTTTGGTAAACAAAAATGGACCATCTGGGCCTATTCTAACAGTGTCACTGTTTGGGAGGTGGTACACAAAGGACTCATTTTACAAGTCATGTGGGACCAGCAATTCAGCAGTAACTTATCTGCTAATATCCACATTATTAATGGTTGTAACTTTGCAAAATGTTGTAATGGTATAAGACATCTCTTTATCACATTCATTTTTGTATCACATATTTTGCTAAATATGTTTATCAGGTTCCCAAGTTTACTAAGAAACTTTGAAGGGCTATCTCAGTAGTATAGACTGATGATTCCTAAATATATATTTTTCTCATCAAGGATTATTTCAAAGTATTATAGTAATTTTGTCCTTTTTTTGGCCACTTTGAAATGTTGCACTGTGGTGTAATGGGAAGAGCATGGGTGTACAAGTAAGATAAATGAGAATCAAACCCCAGCTCCAGCTTTATCTGCTGTAAGACCTCATGTGTGCTTTTGTGTGTGAGAAGACAGAAAGTGAGGAGTTGCAGGGCCATTGTAAAAATAGCCGTGCCCATGAAGAGAACAGTAATGATGGAAATTGAGACGTTTATGACTGAATTTCCTTTGACATTAAAGATAATTTGAACTCACCTAGTTTTCTGTGCTAATGATTAGGGGAAATTTTGCTTTCTAATCAGATGACAATGTTGAAATTTATCTTAACAGTGAAAGTTGTTTGGAGATGTGCTAGAAGTGCATTCATAGCCCCACTGGAAGACTATGGTATGATTTAACAGGCACAAATCCCATAACTCAAAGACTATGACTGTTAATGGTAATACTGTTTTCAATATCAGGCAGTCTACTTTTTTCAAGACACATATATCCATACTACCTGAAGTATAATAGTGCATCTGCTAGTGATCATTTACTACAGATATTACTAAAATTAAAAATATGACTTCTAATTTTCAGATTTTTTTTCTGATTTTTATCTCCAAAATTATTTGTAAGTCCAACTTTGTGTGTGTGTGTGTGTGTGTGTGTGTGTGTGTGTGTGTGGCTGTACATTATGGGGATGCAAATGCTTGACCTTGGTGTTATCAACACCATGGTCATCTACCCAGCTGAACTAACCAGACAGCCTTAAGTCTAACATTCTTACATTAAAAAATCACAATTGAGGCATTTAGGTTTTGTTTTTATATATTGTCATAAATCTACTTATGGATTTGACTTGAATATTCTACTAAAATGCACTAGAAATTAAGACTACTTCTATAATCTAGTGGTACTATTAAGAGAAGGAATGTGGAAGTTAAACATGTTTCATTTTTAATTTTGAGAAGAGCATATGTGTTTCCTGTGTCCAACATTGAAACATCAAAGATCATAATTTTAAAGCTGTGGTGAATATACATCTATATATATAGTCCAAATAACATAATCACCAAAATGTGTGTTCTTCTGTCTTTTCATAAAATATGGAACATTTCAGATTTGCTGAGTTTTGTTTGAGGAAGTCAGATGTTGTGCAGTTGTTTTGCTGTGCCTATTGAGACTCTTGGGCAATGATGTTTCACTTGCAGAAGTTTAGGTGTTGACTGGAAGTCTGCAGCTGACCTTAAACCCATTGGTTTGAGTAAGGTACAAGCAAGGAGCTTCTAACAGAATCTAAGGGACAGTTTTTCCTTTGATTCAAGCTTAGAGCTGTCAGCTCAGCCTCAATTCATTAAAAAACAAAAAATGAAAGCATCAAGTTCCAAAGGAAATAAAGAGCACTTAGGCTCAATTGTAAAATTGCTTGCACCACAACATTTTAACCCATCTGTCCACAGTTGTTTCACATGCAAATTTTATTTTACCAGACAACCTAAGCATAGCCTGATTTGGTTTTAATTTAGGGAAATGCATCTGAGGGAACAACTCTTTAGTTTTTAGTCTAACGTCAAAGTCCGGTTTCACTGATAACGATCTTTTGTCTCACTTTCAAATTTTGTGTTAGTTCTCAAGTCCCCTGTGGTTCTCTCTGGAGGCAGTAAACAATGCTATAGATATTATCTGTGATATACTCACAGCCTACCCTGAAATTACCACTGCCCCTACTTTCTACTCTTATTCTTTCTTTGCATTTTGACCTATTCTAGTGGTATTAGCTCATTTTGTCTACACATGTGATTTCCAGTGACATTCTTTCTTTTTTGACCTCTTTCCTAAATTGTATTCATTCTGACAATCTCTCCTAGACAGATGATAATATTCTAAAAGAAATTCGACGGTGGATGTCTGCTTAGGTAAATATGGTTATCACACACACCTATATACACACACACATGCATGCACACTCAGTCGACCACAGCTACTTCTAATAAAGGCATTCCTGCAAAGACAATTGGATGTACAAACAGTGACAACCATGGAAGATTTCTTGAGTATGCAGCTGGAGACAGAAAGTACTTGGAATGGGAAAGAAGATATTTCAACATCTTAGAAAATTTTCAGGCCACTTGAAGATAAGTCAAAAGAGAAAAATAATGAGGGTGAAATGGGCAATTTCAATGTACCTGTTTTTAAGAGTCTTATGACATCTTATTTTATGTAAAGGTGAATTGAACACATTTATTCCATTTATTTTATGTAAATGTGAGTTGAACAACCCTGGTGACAGCTTTGATCGGTTATAAGCCTTTGCTCTTCTGCTCCTCTATGCACTTTTCATTTTGCATCTCCAAAAGTTAATTTTTTACAAAATACTGTACCCTTCATCTATTCCTACTGAACTCTTGAATTTCAGTCCATTAGCTGGAGACTCAGGATTTCTTATACTAAGGTTATTATACATTATAATTGAAATTTTTGATATCATAATTAATAAATAATGAAAACATTCTGGGAAATTGCTAATTATAAGACTCATATGCATTGTTTGATGATAAGGTCCCTAGCAGAGTCACTGATTTTTTTTTTTTTTTTTTTACCATTTATGAACAAAGAAAAAAGAGGCAGAAAAGGAGAACAATACTCTTTTTTATGATAAAGAAAAATGATGACTTTATATGTCTTCTAGAATTAGAAATACAAATTTCAAATATAGTTACCCATGATGGCTAGTGAGCTGAAAAGTGTTTATATGTTAAAAGAAGACATAACAGACATATCTGAAGTCCAGAAGGCTTAAATGGAGGTTTTCATAGACAACTTTATGAGGATACTCCCTGGTTACCAATTGTCGAACAGGATTTTACTTGCAATGTTTTTGGCATCCTACCTTATGTAGATATATTTCAGTGGTTTTGTTGTTGGGTTTTCATCACTTTATTCACCTGTATTTAGCCTGCCCTTATCTATAATTAAGAGGTTGACTATAGCAACTTCACAGTTACAGATAAGGTTCCATTTGCTAGAACTGAATCAGAAAAGGCAGAGCTAAAGAAATCTAAGATTTAATTTAAAATATAGGAAATGGTAGATTTTAAAGAAAAGCCTAAAATATTTTATTTCTACAAGACTTTACATCCATTATAAATTCTTACAACCCTCATGGCATTGGTATTAGTAACCTTATTTTACAGACAAGGACACTAAAGTTCAGGGATTGATGAGTTCTCGAAGGTCAAAACAACCAATAAGTAGAGAACTACTTACTAACTTATTGACCTCATCCCAACTGACTCAAAACCCCGGCATGCATCTAAGAAACAATACTGCCTACAGACAAGTGGAAAACAGCTGCTTTTGTGCCCTGAGGAGCCCTTACACTTCATTCTTGGAAAGATCATCACATTTGATATATTTACCACTAAACTGAGCTTCTTCAGGACAGAAATCATGTTTACTCATCTTTGATGTATTTCTAATGTATAGCTCAGTGTCTGGAAAAAAAGGTGCTGAATGAACTGAAAAATGGCTAAGAACAGAGAAAAAGAGGCACTTCCCAGAATGGGTGTTGGCTCTGTATTTGGGACATGATAATTCTGTAGATCCTACTGGGTGAAATGAAAATCTTTTATTGTTCAGATCACACCTCCAATATGACCATGGATCAATTTAAATTTAAGCATCTTCGGGCCAGCCCGTGGCTCACTCGGGAGAGTGCGGTGTTGATAACACCAAGGCCACGGGTTCGGATCCCATGTAGGGATGGCCGGTTTGCTCACTGGCTGAGCGTGGTGCTGACAACACCAAGCCGAGGGTTGAGATCCCCTTACCGGTCATCTTTTAAAAAATAAATAAATAAATAAATAAATTTAAGCATCTTAGTGATATGTGGAGTATTATTGGTGAATTAGTGAGAGCATTGTCATTTGGAGGTGACATGTAAGAAATTGTTACAATCACTCCTGCTGGGAGACGTGTAATATGAACATACTATCAACCATACAAAAAAAGAAGTAGGAAGCATGTAGTTGGAGGGCAGACGTGTGCCTTATTGTAAAGTCCCAACTTGTGCCTCATAAACATATCACTGATTTGGAAGGAATCCAGATGTATTGGAAAAGGTGATAGAGTAATACCATAAGAAGTTAAGTGGAAGAACAAAAGGTGCAAGAAGAAATGAAAAAGGTATAAGTACAATAGACATTAAGGAGCCTGGGGATCTTCAAAATGAGAGTTGTTCTGCCTTCATTGAGTTGATTCTCCAAGAAAGAAGGTAAACATGACCAAGGGAGTCAGGAGTTATACTCAAACTTGTTTTTTTATATACATACCTATGGGGTGCAATGCTGATTTTTGATAATTGTGTAGAATGTGTGGTGGTTAGATCAGTATAGTTAGCTTATTCATCATTACCATACATAGTCATTCTTTGTGTCTATTGACCAACTCTTCATTAGTCCCCCTCCCTCCCCGTCCCCTCCCCTTTTCCACTTTAGTTTTCCAAAAGTTCAACATGTTGCTGTAATTGTTGTTTCTTTCTTTGTCTCTTTCTGTTGTTCATTTGTTTATTTATGGATTCAGCTCCCAATTATAAGTGAGAACATGTGGTATTTCTCTTTCTGCACCTGGGTTGTTTCACTTAGAATAATTTTCTCCAGGCTCATCCACGTTGCTGCAAATGGTACAATCTCATTCTTTTTTACGGCTGATCGGAAACTTTTATAGCTTCCTGCGGTGTCTGTTGTTTCTCTCTGCCAGGATTCCTCTCCCCTTCTTTCTCAAAGGCAACTCATTACATGTGGTTTGGTTGGGGATCATGCTCCCTGGCTCCACGGTGTGTGTATGGCCCAGGTCTGGCCAATCACAGACCCGACTTGCTGGGCCCAAGAACTCCCACAGGGCTGAGCACATGTCTGAAGCCAGGTCAGTGAGAGTCCTCCCTGGGACTTTTGATTGAACAACTGGAAGAGAAGCATTCTCTTCTGTGAGGGCACAAGGGATGATTAAATCTGGGGCCCCTAGGAGCCATCTTCACTGCAAATTGGAAAGAGTCTATGTCCAAGGATTAGGACAAAAGAGATGAGAGCCAGTGAGCAATGAAGACATCATTTAAGCACCTGGATCCAGCCAGGTAAAACCAGTATTCTACTGGACTTTCCAGTTCTGTGAGCCAAGGGGTGTCATTTTGTTTACTCAATTGCTTAGAGTTGGGTTACCGTCACTTGGACATATGCACTTCCTTGTTTATCACCCTGATCCAATTCCACATAGT